AGTCGAAAGTTGGAAGCAAATGAGCAAAGACCGGGCAAAGAGGAGGAAACAACCAATGTTCACGGTCAGATGTTGGAGTTCACGGTCTTATAATGTCATGAACTGGATCCATAACTCGTGAAACAAGGAGCGACCAGAGATGGTTTTCAGGTTACTGACAGTCAGGCTGTTCACGGCCGCTAAGACCGTGAACCCGAGTCATCAAAGCGGTGCGTTTTGGTTTCAGCACTGAGTTCAAGGACGTGTTTTAATGTTCACGGCCGTGAACTCAGGCCGTGAACTGGGCACGATCTCAATTAAAAGGGATGAAAGGAAGAAGGAAAGGGAGAGACCTAGTGTGAGAAAAACTTCTCCTTCTTCAGATTTTAGAGTGAGAAAGTGACGAACCAAAGAAGAGGAAAAGCTAGGGTTTCATCTCCAAGCAAGGATTTGGGTTTCTTCAGCACAAGGAGCAAGCCTTGCATCTTCATGATTGTTTTCCTTGCCCTATTTTGTGTTTTCCCTTCTCCTAGCATGGAGTAGTCCCTTCTTTCACTTGGGTGTTTGTGAACCCTAGCTACAATTATGTAAATACTTGTATGAATTGAACGATTTGTGTGTGGTTGTGTTTTAATGTGACTATGGAGGTATTATTCAGAAATGATTGTGTTGTGTGAAAGCCTATCAATCTAATTATCATTCTAACCTAGCTTAGAGAGGAGACCTCCTAAGGTTAAGAGGCTCCATTGGAGATGGGTGTTTCTTGGGCATTTCATGCCTCCTAGTCTAGTTTAGAGAGGAAACCTCCTTTGTTTCCAAAGAGGCTCTATTAGGGTTGGGTTTCCTTGGGCATTCAATGCCTCCTAAGCTAGTTTAGAGAGAACCCTCCTTAAACTACGAGGCTCTATTAGAGATGGGTTTCCTTGGGCATTCTATGCCTCCTATTCTAGGTTAGTTAACGGGCAAACCTCTTAATTCGTATTAATCACTTAGGGTTTGGTTGTGGGTGGCCGTCCGAACTCCAATTCAAGGGTGAAGTCTAACCATTCCTTAGTCGATAGGTTGAGAGGGTCACATTAGTGGCTTGGATCGTATCCCATTCCTCAACCTAGAGTCTAAGAGGGTAGCTTTGGCTGCTTGTTAGACTTCCCTATGGTTTATGACCCACTAACCACACACGCTCGTTCGAGTTGTCAAGTCGTAATTGTTACTTGTTAGGTAGGGGGAGCAACACCAGGGTGAAGCTTTCTCAACTAGATTCAAATCCATCTTATCTTTGCAAAACAGTTTAGTTTTAGACCTTTGTTTTCACAAAAACCGATTCGCTAGATAATGTTTCAAACAGTCAAAGTAGCGGTACATGGAAAGGCCCAGATCGATATTTAAACATGCTTGCCCTATATTTCACCCATCTAAGGTTTATACTTGGACTTTAGGTGAGATTTTATTATGATAGTTAGAGCGAGTCAGCAGGAAATAAGGAAGAGATAACTGAAATGCAAGAGAAGAAAGAACAGTAATATTAAAGATAAATGTGTCACTAATGGAGATAAAGACATTCTTAACGGTCATAATGAGGTTATTGCTCATGCCGGAGAAAATGCAAACAAGCCAAAAAGAAACCGTGCAGTAATCTCTTACGATGAGGAGTAATTAGAAGGTTCATTTTAATTGGTCTTTAGGAGTAAGTTCCCTTGCATGGGTTTTTCTTTCATTTTCGTAAAATAATGTTAGTTGATTAGTCCTTAGAATGTCCGAAAACAATATGATAGTCTTTTGATTTGTTCAACTATTTTAATGATTTTGATCTCTTATTCTTCCAATCAATTTGAATGTTTAGAGTACTGGGTAAATTGAAATGTTGGTTACTGGGATTACTAAAAACGTTCATGTTTGGTCACTAAAAATATTTATATCCATCCGTGGTCACTCAGATTGGTTCAATGGTTCAAGTTTGGTCACTCTCTGTTAGCTTCGTCAGTCTCCGTTAACACTGTCAGTTATTTGCTGACGTGACTAACAAACTCGCCTAGTCACTTATTTTAAACCCAAAAAAATATAATTCGACCCTGCCATGTCATAAAAAATCCTAACACATCATAAAAACCTAACCATTGTGACCTATTAACCCATACCCAACCCAACCCAAATTAATACTCAATTTTCACCACTCCATAAAATCCCTAGACGGAGAAGCGAGCCGGAAGAAGCTCTTGTCCCCACCCATTTCCAATCCGTCGATTTCCAATTCCACGTTCTCCTCCCTCTCCTATTCTACTTCCTCCGACAGAAACATCACCACCATGGGCAACACAATCTCTGTCGGTGGCTGCCGCCTGATCTACCTTGATCCGTCCTCTGTATTCAGCCTCTCTCCTCCGTCAATGGCAGTTGGCAAATCTACTCGATCTCCGACAATGACTTCAACGAGGAGGAAGAAAGAGCATATTCAACTTGCAACCGATCGCTCCCATTTCTTCCCTCATCGTCTATCCCGCTCCCCTACCAAATCTCCTCGACAACGTCTTCCCTGCCAACACCCTCACCAAACTCGACCAGCTCTGGATCCAGGCATAAATCACATGGTTAATTGGTTCTAATGGCTACCCTTTTGTGAAAATTTAATAACAAGAACAATCTTTGTTAATAAAAAAACCCCACACTTTTATTCATCTTGACCCGAGTTAATAATTGCAAGTAGCAAGATGAATTGAGGAGAAAACAGGACCACCCACTCTGCTCACTAGTCACCGCCATTTCTCTCCTTCATCATACACGATTCCCTCTTCCTCCCTCTCTCTGAATCCAGGCATAAACTCCGCCCGACAAACATTAGCTCTGAGTTCTTGTATCTTGGACGCTTGTTAATACCCATGGGATTAGGGATGGTGGCAGTCAAATCCTGCTCCGATTGAGTCTCTAGTTGCGGGGAAGATGGATTCGTCAGAGCTCCGTCCTCTCTTGCCACTGAATCGTCATCTACAAAATATGGATGCTTATGGTTCCCCTAAAGATGACGATGAAGAGGAAGAACGCCCAACCATCCTGGTTGCTTTCCTCTGCTTGGACTTTCGGCGCGGGGGTAGAAGAGGAAAAAGCCAAAGACAAAGCGGGAGAGAAGTTTTGTTCAATGGCATCCAGCGAGGTGAAGAAGAAATGGGAGCGTCAGCCCTTGAATTTAGGGTTTTTCTGGGAAGCTAGAGGAAGAAGACAATGATAGCTAGAAGAGTCGATTTAGGGGTTTCTCTGGGTTGGGTAGGGGGCGATCAATAAACCATGGGTTGACTTTCTTGTGATGTGGCAGGTCGGATTTTTTTTTATTTTGGTAAAATTAGGCGACTAGATATTTTTGTTAGTCACGTCAGCAAAAAATTAACACTGTTAATGGAAGCTAACGGAGAGTGACCAAACTTGAACCATTGAACTAATCTGAGTGACCACGAATGGATTTAAACATTTTTGGTGACCAAACATGAATGTTTTTAGTAATTCTAGTGACCAACCATGCAATTTACCCTCTGTGGGGGGGGGGGGGGGACTCATTCTTTTGGTGGACGAGGTTACGTCCAGGGGCTCCCATGGGGCAGGGGGATGGGTTTTGCAGGATTCCTCCGGGGCGGTGGTGGCAGCAGCAGCAGCGACTCTTTTCGATGGGGTGTATGAGTCGTTCTTGGAGGAGTCGCTTGCTCTAAGGGATGCCATGCAATGGTGTCTTGTTAGAGGGTTGCGTTCCGTGTGTTTTGGGGATGACGCGAAGTCTGTCTTGGATAAGGTGGGTGCGGATCAGTTTGCATATGGATCTGGTGGTGTGATTTTGGAAGAGGTTTTGCTCCTACGACGTGAGTTTGAGGTCGTTCAAGTTAGGTTTGTAGGTCGTAATTGTAACAAGGTAGCTTATCTGGTGGTACGAAGAGCCCTTTCATTGTTCCCCCGTTTGGGGAGGTTTGATTTTACTTCTTGGCTGCTTTCGCCTTTTCGGCCATTTGACATTCTTGTATCTGACTGTTTTCTTGTTAATCCGAGTGATCTTTTGATAAAAGAAAACCTTGCAATTTACCCTTAGAGTATTTGAAGAAGTTAGATTTTCCTATACTAATGCATATCTCGAATACAAATTGCTATTGTTATTTACGTGATTAACAATTGAATCAGACCAACTGGCCGGGCCCGTGACTAGTGTATAAGTATTGAGTTACATGTTCCGCAATCCCCCCGCCAGCCCATCACTAATCTAAACTCTCAAGGTTCGGTTGAAGAAATCACAAAATACACATGTTTTTTAGAAAAATTCCCAAAATACACACGTTATAAAAAATATTCCCCAAATACACATGTTTGGGCATCACTGCGGCTGTCAACCGCAGGGAATGCATTCACCGCGGCAGACTAAAGCGGTGAATGCATCACCGTGGACGGCCGCGGTGAATGCCTTACCTAACACCGAAACTTCAAATGAACGTAATTTTGCGCTCGGTTATCCGATTGTAGCGATTTTTTTTTAATCCGCATAACTTTTCAAGATCTTTCTATCTGAAACAAGCCTTCATCTCATAAAAATGTCGTTCGTTACCCCGAACGAGCAATTTTTGATTTTGCCAAACTTTGGAAGGCCATAACTTTTAACTCCTCAATCCGAACGTCATAAAGTTTTATTTATTGCGCATAAACTTTTTTTAAGAACTACAACTTTTACTAGAAAAAGATTTTTTAAAAACGAAATATTTTTGGGTATACGGGATTTTGGGAATAACTTTGCCTTTACTTTTCACAAATTCACATACATTCCAAAATCATGGTTACAATCAAAGTTGTATTCCTTTTATAGTTATGCAAAATCAAAAAAAGTTTCATGACATTTGGATTGCGGAGCACAAAGTTATGTTCTTCCAAAGTTTGTCAAAATCGAAAATTGCTCTTTCGGGGTAGCAACCGATTTTTTTTGGGATTAGGGCTTGTTGCCGATTGAAAGATCTTGAAAAGTTACGTGGAATATAAAAAATTCGCTACAATCGAATAACCGAGCGCAAAGTTACGTTTGTTTGAAGTTTCAGTATTACATCAGGCATTCACCGCGGCCGTCAACCGCAGTGAAACATTCACTTCTTTCGTCTGCTGCGGTGAATGCATTCACTGCGGTTGACTACCGCAGTGATGCTCAAACATGTGTATATTGGAATTTTTTTTTATAACGTGTGTATTTTGATAATCTTTTTAAAAAACATGTGTACTTTTTCCACGGTACCTCATTTTAAAATCAACAAAGCCTAATAGACTAAAACGAAGCTATATCCAAAGTTTAGTGACCTTCCCGGCACAAAATTAAATTAAACCAGAGAGAAATTAATGTCGCGCGAACCCTGAAAACCGAAGCAAGAAATCCCTAGAATTGGAGAGAACGACGGCCGGGGAAGAAAAATAATGAACTGGATACGGAGCAGCGCGTCCCTCGCCGCCACATCGTTGAACTCGGTGGTGGCTCGGGAGAACCAGCTGTACCGGACTCAGCAATGGCGGGGGATCCGGGTTATGGTCTTTGACGGGAACGTGGAGAGGGCTCTTACCGTGTTGCAGCGGAAGATGCAATCGAGCGGGATGGAACGGCTGATCAAGCGGGCGCAGACTACTCACCTGAAGAACTCGGAGAAGCGAGTTTTGGCTCACAAGAATCTGATGCACCGGGTTAAATCCGAGGATCTTGCCCGCAAGCTCCAGGGCATCCTCCAGAAAAAAATCAGGTGAATTTGAATTAAACGCTTCTCCGGATTCTTATCGTTTTCCTTAGCTTTAATTATCTGACGGGAGGTGGTGATTTTTCATTAGTGGGAACTGCAATTTAGATGTTGGAAATGGTTGGGATGGTGGAAAGGGATTCGAGAATATGATATAGGGGTAGGGTTGATGTTGAATTGGGAAGGCGATGGAACAACATTTTATGAATTATTAATATGGTCGGAAGTTCTCTGTACTTCAGCTGTTTAATAAGCCAGCATTTGTTATGATGGAGAAGATCAAGATTGAATTACATTGAATAAGGTTGAATAGGATCTCATGAATGTGAAGCGAGGGTTTGGGCTTGTGCATAGAACTTTAGACCTGTGGTTTTTGCTTTGTGTCAAGAGTCTCTTACTCTCTTTTCTCCTACGGGGTTGTCATGGGAAGTAGCATTCAAGAAGATGAAGATTTGTGTGTATCAGCTTCATCGTTGATTATGAATGTTCATATGTGATGGAAGCTCTATTGCCGTTATTGTTTGTGGCAGCTGGTTGTCTGTCGAAGGGCTTGACAAAAGATAGTCACTTTTATTTGGTTTAGCAGAAGATCTTTTGCTAATGTAACGTGTACTATCAAGTTAAGAATATTACTCTTTTGGATTCTTTACTGTAGGGTTCTATCTAAGTTTTCATCTGCCCGTTATTACTTGCTTACCTTTTTGAAACTTTGATGCTTTGTTTATGGCCTGCAAGGAAGCTGCTTTCCTTCTGTTTGCATATCTCTTTTTCAAGTTAAGAACTTTGCAATTGGTATCAACTAAATGTATTGATGAATGTTTCAGGGGACTGTGAGAGCTGGTATCGGGTGGCGCAAATCAGACTGTAGCGAGTTGGTGACCTTGCAAAACACTGTTGTTTACAGTAGAATCGGCTGTTTTGAGCTGCTTATTCATGTTAGTTGAGTTGGCTTTGTTCTGAAATCATGCAGAACTCTTGATGTTAGCTGTCCATTCCTTACAGAAGACATTTATTCACAGAACCATTGAAGGTTAACCATTGTGTTGCAAATTGGTTCCTCTAGCTCTCTTCTCTGTTTGTGTCACCATTCCGGACCTTGTTAATCTTAAAGAGGCATCAAATAAGTGTTGCATTCAAGGCTAATAATCTAATATGGCATATGGATGGGAAATTGATGTGATTCTTTTTCGTGGATGATTTGAGTTCTGAATTTAAGTTTCAATAGAGATAAAATCTCGATGGGTTTACTTTAGGGATGACAATTTCGACCTGATCCGTTTTACCCGACCTGTTTGGCCTGTTTTGGGGCGGGAGCGAGGGCGGGCATGGGTACCCTCATCGACTCGACCTGCCCCATTCTCGACCCGTTCTTGCCTAAATTACATGTAATCTTAGAGTCAAATTATTTAGGAATTTAATTTAATTAGATCATAATTTAGCTATAATAAAATTGTAAATTAGTGAAAACCTCAACTTCTCTAATAATTTAACTATATTTATCATAATATTGTTTGTTTTCTTGGTCTTATAATAAAATAACGAATATTTATAATATTTTCATATAAATTGCATACCCATTGGGTCGACCTGCCCCGACCCGCCACCTATGATAAATTATCTGACCTGTCACGGGGCGGGTCTGGTACCAAGAAACCCGCCCTGGACCTACCCCATTGTCATTCCTAGTTTACTTCGGTTCATGATGGCTTGCTTGATTCACTTGTGCTCAGAATTGTTCCCTATTTGAAGAATCGATATTCTTACGTTGTTATTGGTCGTGGTGGTTGAATCGCCGTGGTGGTTGAATCGCTCTGACGGAGACAAAATCAATATTATGATGATACCTTGATCTTGTTTACGATTTTGTGTTTTTTCTTCCATGTTATAATTGTTAGCAAACGTTATGCACTCTAACAGGGCCGGCCAAGAGGGTGTGCTGGCCCGCCCTCCAGCACAGGGCCTCAGAATATTAGGGCTTCTACTTAGATTCGTTAGTTACCGATCGTATATTGTAGGTTGTATTTTTAGTGTATGATTGATTGATTATGAGTATGATGATGTGTTTAATAGATAATTTTAGCTATAATAAAAATTGAAAAGGATCTCATGGAGAATACGAAAATCTGAAAAATAATAGATAATTTTAATTTAAACAATATAGAAAGATATTACATTTTGAATAATGTTATTATAATCATTTTAGTTTTATTATAGTTAAAGGTCAATTTGGACCACGTCTAGATTTTGAAATAGGGCCTCCACGCTCTAGTAGACAGCCCTGCACCCACTTCTCGATCAATTTAGACTATTTTCATTTCTCCATTCAATTTTTGCGCTATATCCATTTTCTCTTCCTTCCAGATTTACTTTCCTCCCTAATAGGGCTGGGAATTCGGTCTTGGTTTCTTGGTCAAACTGGAAACGAGATCGTTTATTCCTGATGTAATCTTTTCTGAACTTAAGTATTTTTTTTACAATTATTTACTAATTTTTAATTTTGATAAATTTATGGGAAAAAAAATTAGGGCCACATTTTGAATTTTCGAACAAGGTCTTCAAATATCATGGGACGGCCCTGCACTCTAAAGAACTCTTTACCTAACGAGTGTATATGCTTACACTATGTTTGGCAACAAGGGGGGTGCAAGTTCGAGGGGGGTACAAGTTGAGGGGTAAATTGTTGGGGGGTGCAACTTGGTGGAGGGTGTAAGTGGAGGGGTAAATTGTTGTTTGGATGAAAAAGTAGGGGGGTGCAAATAGAGTAAAAAGTAAGTAATTATATTATTATAAAATAAATTTATCAATTTATAAAATATTATCACAAAATAATAACATGAAAATTCAATATATAATAATAAAAATAATAAATAAAAATAATTTTAATAAAAATAATTATTATATAATAATGCTCAAATATAATTATTTATAACAACAATAATAATCATTGGTTGAGCAACCTCGAAACTCGAAATCCAACTCGTAACTAGTCATCCTAACGGGGTTCTCGTGCCTAACTTTAAATTGAATATGGTCAAACTTAGTCAAACACGTTCGAATCTGTAAGTTTTAACTACTTATTAAAGTAAATCGAGTTAACTAAACTGTTCCTCTCTATCTTTTCAACAAACGCTTCTTATCTCTAATTTTCAATGCAAATTCGGGTCAACTAAGAAATATCGATTTGACGAGGCGAACATTGACAAACTTGCTCTATGAGTCAAACGGTCAACCCCAAACAACTTCTACACTAATATAGATATAAGAAAAAATTAATAATATTAATTATTATGTAATTATAATCTAATTAAAAATTCATAATTCCCCTCCTCCCCCTTCCCCCTCCCTTCCTTCCCTTGCACCCCAATTTGGGGGGTAAGCCGAAACAGTGAATTTACGCTCACGTTTTGCACCCCCCTACTATTACAAAATAACCAAACGGGGGTAAACACCTTGGAACTTGTGTTTACCCCTCCAAACTTGCACCCCCTTCCATTTACACCCTTTCCCAAACATAGTGTTAAACTCTTCCAAATACAATCTAGAGATTCAAAAAATTCTGAAAAATTACCGCCACTCAGAAGGCATGGGCCAGCCAGCCGAAAGTTGAGTCCAGTTTTGTTTTATATTAGTGAAAGAGCCCAGCTCGGAAGCCCACTCTCCAGTCCACTGTGTGTCCGCCAGCTGTAAATCTTCCGAGTCAGTGGAAAATTGACCGAGCGGGTCGGAACAAAAACCCAGGCAAGCAGCTCAGCTTAGCTCACTGCCCAAACAGAAGAAACCTCGCACGGGGTTTAAGAGCAGAGGTAGGAAAAATAGAAGTTAAAACCTTTTCCCCTTTCCGCCGGCGACTCCAACCATGGACACGGTGAGGCTCCGATTAACATTCGACAAAGCTCTATCAGACTCCCTTGAGAAGACAGATGGATTGAAACGTTTCTGGGTTCTCCTAAACCCTCAGCACAAAACCATCTCCGATCTCTCTCATTACCTTCTCGACGCTTTCGACCTCCACAATGCATGCCCCGACGGCCTTCTCCTCTCGGTAAACAACCTCTACATCTGGCATCTGATTTCAAGTTTGGAGAGTGTTTGTGATTCGTTCTTTATGTTTTGTTTGGCAGATGGAAGGGTTCTTTCTACCGCCATTCGAGTCTACTAGTGTGTTGAAGGACAGAGATATTGTTAGGGTTAAGAGGAAAAGTGGCGAGATTATCAAGTTGGGTCATAATGGGCAAGAAAGGGCTGATTTGGGAATGTTGGAATTTGTGGGTCATCGGTCTTTAGCTGTTGCTGTAGCTCCAATGAAGCTTCTGGCGAATGAAGAATTTGAGAAGGAAACTGGTGGCTATGAGAGTGATGAACCAGAAGAGGAGGACGATGCTGAGCTGGAGGATATATTGCATGTGGAGGAAAAAACCCCAGAAATGAAGAAGGTTTCGAAGAAGAGGAAGGCCTCCGAGGAACCTGAGAGCTCGAAGTATGGTCGCTTTGTTTGTATCCATCTCTTTTTTGTCGTAGGAAGACTGAAGTTTTACAACCAATTTTGAGGAGATGTGGATGGGATGCAGTGTTGGGAAGTTCAAGTAATGGGGGTACTTTGAATTTTCAGGAAGAAGAAGAGGAAGAAGAAATCTTTTAGTACTGAGAAATGTGGAGATGTTATTGATGATTCTGAAAACAATATCGATGCTCGAAAGGACACAAAATCCTATGTTGCTGCTGATAAGAAGAAGGTTAAGAAAGATCGTAAGGCGAGTGATGGCACTCCAAATGCGAAGAAGTAGGTTGTCTCAATCTTGCTTATTTTTGTTCCCTGGTCAATTAGCTTCTATGATATTAAGGATCCCTAATAGCGAATTGCTTGCTGATGGCATACAAGGATTGGTAGGTCAGAGCAGCAAGATGTAGTTGAGTTGAGAATTCAAGTAGGATATCTCCCTTTGTCCATGATATTTAGTGTAGCTAACAATGTATGAAAATTGTTTGTTCCTCTGGGATAAGGAAACATACTACTTTCTGTTTCTTGGTTTAATCTAACTTGCAGCAGTTCCTGTCCTAGCCTTCATTCCTGATCTGCTTATGTTTTAATCAAATTTGATACTTTGCTGTGAGAAAAATGGTCAGTGTAAGATAGTATGGATGACAATGGGGCTTGTAATGCTTGCAGTTCTCTTGTGGTTTTCTATTATTTTTTCTTTCTGTTTCAGATCAAGTGAGCCTAAAGGTTGCTGTTCTGATCATGTCGATGCCTCGTGTCCACCTTCTGAAACTAAAAAGGTATAGCTGTTATTATTTACTGAACATAAACTCACTCGTTGCAGTCTGAGAGGGTTGTATCTTGATGGCGGCACTATCAGTGAGAGGCTGTTACATGGCTAAAATATTACCTTTCTGTTTTTAGTGAGCATGTTTTGGTTTTTGACACTACGTTCCTTGCTTTTGAAACATGCAATTCCATGTTTGACTTCAGCTTTGCAATGCCTTGTGTTTCAGCTCCCAAGTAGAAGTGCTCGACGTAAGAAGGCCAAGAGACAATGGTTGAGGGAGTTAAGAAGAGCTGAAAAGAAAGTATGCTCATCGTGTCATTACTTTAATAGCATTGAAACAACCAGTGAAATCATTTTCTGTTTATAATGTCTTTAGTTCTGAATGCTGAATCTTTCAGGAAGAAGAGGAGAAGCAATTGTCTTCAAAACCTAACCAGAAAGCTAGTCAAAAGAAGAAGCACAAAGCAATTGAGAAACCAGCTGACAAACAAAAGCACTCTTTGGTGGAAGAACTTCCTAACAAGGGTGATAGCACAAATGTTCAGGCGGAAAATCAACAATCAGGTCAAGTTGGTGATAAAGATGATGAGGTTGTACCAGTAGTGATAAGACCAGGACATATTCGTTTTGAGCCACTGCAGAAAGGTGCAAATGATTATAATGGTCTGCCTTTCAGCCTTTGTATTATTGCTTTTTCAGTACTTACCTTTCTTCTTAATGTGGTTCTTGTTCCAGGTAGTGCTGATCAGTCTGTCCAACAAAATCTAACTCTGCTAGTAGGTTTCTTTCTGGGCATTGTCATTTCTGTAGTAATTTTATAGTTTAATGCAGTCTTCAGCTTTGGATGTTAAATTCTCTGTTTTCTCCCATCCTGGATGCTGCTTCAGGAAACCTCTCAGTGGAATGGGATGAGCAAAAAGAAAGGTCAAAAATGGGGTTCACAGAAAAGTACGTCATGGCAATGGAATGATAATGGAAAATCCAGTCATAAACCTTCTGAAACATGGAAGGATAACACAAATTCCAGCCACAAACCTTCCGAAACATGGAATCACGATGCCAATTCCAGCCACAAACCTTCTGAAACACGACCAGTCGAAAAAGAACCAGCTCCCTTTTACAATCAGATCGACTTTGATAAGCTTTCAGCTTATGCACACTCGCCCAAGGTTAAGTTTGTTCTTATGCTTAATTATTTTGACCTCTGTGTTCAGTCTTGTTTGGCATTGAATGAAGAGTCTTTTGCTTCTTACAAATATTGCAGGAAGGGGACATTATTGCTTATCGGCTCATTCAGCTATCGTCATCCTGGACTCCAGAGCTTTCAACATACTTAGTACTGTTCTTTCTTCATTTTCATTTTCTTCCACGATGTTCTCTTTGAGAGCATAGAATGAATATCCTCTGATGTTGTCTCTAGGTAGGGAGGATATCGAAGTTCAACCCTCAAACCAACAAGATCAAGCTGGTCCCAGTTCCGAATTATCCTTTGATCCCTGATAACAAATTACAGGATGAAGAATCCGAGGTGCTTCCAGAAACTTGTTCTTTGCAAGAAGATGGATCTCTAGTGGTCAGTAAACTAAAACACCTCACAGAACAACAGTTCTCTACTTCCCCTTTCCTCTCCCTCTTCAGTTATCAAATGACTTGATAGTTTAAGCTCTTATTCTCCAGATGGATTTTACTTCACTTCTGGAAGTCCGCGCTGTGAACCCTAGCAGCACTGACTCAGCAAAGGCCACTCTTGTCAATGAGGCCTCTCCAAATAAAGTTCAATGTACACCAGAAAATGGCACGAAAAATCATACTTCTAGTCAAGGTGCTGATTGCTAATTTGGTTCTTTGTTGACTCAACAATTTCATTTATCATCCACGACTATCATCTCACTTTCCATTGTTAAAACTTGCTAGAACAAAGAGAAGCAACAAAGAATCCGTGGGATGAGATCAGCCAAGCCTTGAGTGCAAAGAAAGCAGAATTGTCACAGGAGGATAATAACTGGACAGTAACAGAGAGCTCGGGCAGAAACCAATGGAGTTTCAAGGCGTTGAGAGGCAGTGCTCTAGGTCCGACTATGGCTCTATTAAGATCTCAGAATGGAATATGAAGCTTCATAGTTTGTCTGCGAAATGGGAAATGGACAAGAACTCATCTTTTGTAAAGCCCCTACCTAAAGCCAACTTATATCTGCTCCAAAATTTTGTTGCTGTTTTGTGCCTTTCATGGCAAAGGTCACATCTATAGCTTGACATAGAACTGTAAAAGTTAAGGAACAAGGGGGAAATCGAAAATCGTCTCTTGATTTACTTTTATTAGGTGGAAGTGTTTATTACTCCTGCTATGATTCCAAGACCTGAACAACAAACTTGTATTTCCCCTTTTCTGTACATAGTTTCTTTCAAGGAAAAAAAAAGCTCTCTACATTACATCCCCCGAGCAGGAAAAAAGGATCAATTATGAACTCATTCTGGGTTGCCACCAAACTTCTTCGACTCCCATTTCTTGCAATTACTCTCAACATTCTAACCGACTCAGAGCACATGCTGAGAAGAAGCTCCATAGCCTGAAGATTAACATTATCCATGGCAATGACAAAGCTAGATCACAACTGGGTTAATATCAACTCTGCCATCTTCCTCTCTATCAGCAATGTCACATTCCGTGCCATTGGTCATATCAACATCAACCATTTCATCATTCTCCCCATGACCATCCTTCATCACATCATCATCCAATTCGGGCTGCTGCAGAATTTTCCCACAACTTACTATGAGTGGCGGAGGGTTACTCCCTCCTCGCTCCGCTATAGATGGTGAAGTAGCTTCCTTGTACGAGTCGTGACTCTTTTCAAGATCAACAGGAAACACCTTTGTAGGCGAGTTAAGAACTTCTAAACCAGAAGGTGAAGGCTGCTGGGATGATAAGTCAGACCAGTTGGAAGATGAGGGCGAAAAGGTAAACGAACTTGACGAATAATCAGATGCCGAAGGCGATGTTGTAGCAGGAGACTTGTAGCCGAGTTTCTGAGCTGCGTCCGGAGAGCAAGAGAAATAAGAATCAGATGAAGCACAAGGAGACGGTGAAGACAATGTGTCCTTACATGGGATCTCTTTTTCCTCCACATCTTCTTCACCTTCATGCATTACTGAATCTTCATCTATTTTGGATGGACTGAGGAACTCCTTTATGATACCACTAGCAAACTTCGTTCTAAGCCTTCCCCACCCATTCTCTCTTGCAGGAGGGTGGGTCTCGACTTCAGCATTTGATACCGAACAATGTGGCACCACTCCCCCATGAATCGCCTTATGGAAGACCTCAAATTCTGAATCATACTCATCAACTTTCCTTTCATCACCACCACTACTACTGCAACTGCCAGCACCATCATCAGTAGTTCCAAGAGCATCCCAAAACCCATTCCCTTCTTCCCCTTCATGAACACAAACAAATGGACCTTTCGCCCTTTCGTATCTAATCATCTGGTTTGCAGCTACCCTGGCAAGATTCCACATCACACTGCTACATTTCTTCCCTACCCAAACAAATATGGTACTAGGAACATGGACAATGAAAGCTCCACGAGAGTCTAGTCCTTTCAAACCTGGATTGTTCAGCGTCTTGGGGACAAGGTGGAGAGGATCGTAAGGTGAATGAGGAGCCATTCGATACATACGAAGGACCGAATTAGGGCTAGCCGGAACAGCATGAACACGCTTCTGGCACTGAAGAAGCTGGCAAGCGAAACCCATGTTGGGATTAGTAACACCTCGAGCTGCTTTGACATACTGAAAAGCATCCTCAAAGCTCTGGCTTTCTCTCCACATGAGGTAAGCTATGACCAGAGAGGTGGATCTCGAGACACCCTGGCAACAATGGACCAAAACTTTCCCACTTTCCTCCCTCACATCTTCAAAGTAATCGAACACGTCGTAGAGAATACTGGTGATGTCTTCGGAAGGGGAATCCTTCAGCCAGAGGGTTTTATAAACGAGGTCATTTTTGAAGTACTCAGGGCAGACGAATCCTACACAGTTAAGAACGTGGGTGATTCCGTTCTGCCGGAGAACCTCCCGGTTCTTGGCGACAGCGTCGCTTCCGAGGTAAATGTGATCGGCGATTCTGGAGCATTCTTTGTCGAAGAAGGCCAATTTTTCTCTCTTGAACTGGAATTCTCTGTGAGGCTGGTGAGGATTGGTGTTGTTAGACGCCGGCTGAGGAGTCAATGGGAAGCCGCCGCCGGCGGTTCTGGGAGTTTGCGGGTTAGGCCAGATTCCCAAATCGTCGGACCCGGCCCCAGGCCATTCCTCAGCAGGAGCTCTGGTTATGGATAAAGGCTGCAGCGGCGGGAGACATGACCTCGCCTTGCTGTGATTGGAGGGCTGGCGAGGTCTAGGGTTGTTGATCGGCCTGCGCGGCGAATTGTCGCTCCAGGAAACAGACCGGAGATAGTTTTTCCGGGCGGCGGCAGGAGGGAGTGGGTTATTAGTTTCCTCCTGGCCTAACATTTCAGAGAAACGGGAGAAAGGAGAGAAAATAAAAGGAATTTGGGTGGTGGGTTAACAATGGAATTCTATGGAAAGGGAATGGAACCCATGAAAGGATACTTGTATGAAAGGGGAAGAAGTCGGCATTCTTGTTAACACTGACAAAACACAGTCAATAATGAAAACTCCTAATACCTCCTTTTCCTTTTTATCTTTCACCTAAACCCTCTCACTGGACTTGCAACGAACGACAAAACCCAAATCGACATTAACGCTCTGTTTCTCTCTCTATCTGTCACTTAGTTTCGTTTTCTCGGTCTAAAAGGGGGAAAGGGAGTGGAAGATTCAAAGCGACCTGGTAAGAGCTGGAAATGGCGGAGTTATAGCAAGATTCAAAAGGAAAGAGGCCCAAAAAGGGAATAATATTAAGAAAACAGGGGAAGGTTGTCGTGGGGTTTTCTCTTGTGCTAATGGAGGATTGGCGATTAATGTATCAGGCGAGAGGAAGGGGAAGAAGACGATGAAAGTGGCGCGGAGCGAGTTGTGATCGACTCGGTGGGTCAAGTGGCAAAAAGATTGGATTGGTTGAATTTTCCCAGAAGAGAAAAGAGACAAGATTATGGGACGGGGGGAGGGATGAAAGGAAAAGACGAAGAATTGGTCAAACTGCCACGTCATTGTTGAATGGCTTTCGCTCTGACTTGTTATTTAAACAGAAATTATTAATGAAATTAATTGATTGCAAGAAAAAAAATTAATGCAATTATTTACTTGATGAATTTGGTTATTTACTTGAGTTTGTTGCCCTAAATACGTGAAATAAATAATGGATTTTGAACAAAACGTATTTATTTTTCAAATTTATGGACCCACAAACTTGAAAGTTTCACTTTTTTAGGTGGGAATTGATAATGGATTTTGAAGTCCATCATTTAGGTTGTTTGCTGGTTTTGAGGATGGATTTGGTGATGGATTTGGATCCATCATGGACTTTGTCCAAAATCCATTGTTTACTTGATGCATTTAGGGGCAACAAATCCGTGGGTCCCACGAACTTTAAAGGTCCAAATCCGTGGACCCAACGGACTTGTAAGTCTCACCTATATAGGTGGGAATGATTATAAACTTTGAAGTCCATCATTTAAGATCAAACTACCCCTCCTATTTCATTTCTCTTCTCATACCAATGAGGGCAATAAAGATAAATTTCACTTCATACATACAAATCTAATTAACCAATTTCAACATGAAATCTATGAAACACACAATGGTATTTTTCAAGTCCACGATGAACCCAAAACCCTCATATATCCATGGTTTTACAAAACCCAAAATTTACCAAAACCTTCATTTTTCAAATCCACGAAGCAAACGACCCTTTAAGACCAAACTACCCCTCCTATTTCATTTCTCTTCTCGTACCAATGAGGGCAATAACGGTAATTTTCACTTAATAAATACAAATCTAATTAACCAATTCCATCATGAAATCTATGAAACAAACAATGGTATTTTTCAAGTTCATAATAAACCCAAAACCCTCATATATCCATGGTTGTACAAAATTCAAAATTTATCAAAACATTCATTTTTCAAATTCACGAATCAAACCACCTGTAAATTATTTTATTTTATGTTAAGTTTTCATGCGAAAATTGTGATGGCATTCAAGGTGCTGGTTTTATGTATAAATGAGTTACTTGATAGGCACGCTTGTACGTGGGCACCGGGCCGTGCCGTCCACGGGCTAGCACGACACGGCACGATTAGAGCACGGCACGAGCACGGGCACGAAATAAATGAGCCAGCCCGGCACGAGCACGAATAATTTATGGGTCGTGCCGGGCCTAAACTTCATGGCACAGGCACGAGCACGGGCACGGCACGGTATATAAGTGGGTCGTGTCGTGCCTAATATTTTTGAGACTTATTGAGTAAAAGAACGGACATGGTACCAAAATAATATTTATTTGATAGAAAATAAATATGAAAAAATTATAGGTTCAAATATTACAAAACACAAGTAGAAAAATAATTATTTGTTGTTGTGAGAAGTGTCATAAAGATATATACGTAATTACTAACATAAGTAAAAATGGACAAAGAATTAAACAAAGCCAAATCACACTCGCTATACTTCCAATCTTCTTTTCCCGCTTATTTGTTATTTTTCTCAAACATTATAAGTTAATACTATCTTCCCCGTCCAGTTTTCACATTCTTTTTCATTCGCTCTTTTGTTTTCGTCATTTTCATTAAACACGAATATGAGCATGGCATGAGCACGAATAGGCACGACACGATTCGAACCGTGCCCCGGCCTGGGCCGGGCCTAGCAAAATTAATAAATGGACTTGCATGACACGACACGAAAATTGACGAGCCGTACCAAGCACGGCACGAAATAAATAGGCCCGAAGCGTGTCCGTGCCGTGCCGGCCCAACACCCATGTACAGGCATGCTATGTCACTTTTTTTTGTTGTTGTTAAAGGCACGCTCCGCTCACTTTAACTGTAAGCCACACTTTTATTCTGGGCGAATGACATATTTGGTCACTCATGTTATAAATTGTTTTATGTGACATTTTTTACATAATTATCAGTGGTGACTGGTCATCTAAGTTTGATAGATATTATTAATGATGTCAATTTTTTTTTATATCACTAACGGAGGTGCTGAGTTGGCATATAAAAAAGTAATAGCGAGTCCAATACAACGAAATGGGCAGGAAGAATAACTAGGGTCAATCACGGGTTCAATGCATTGCACAGGATAACAATTAAATTTTGGTTTGGTTGCACAATAACCACCTAAATATATTTTGTTGTAAGTAAAATACCTAAATCCAACTTTTGTTGCACCATTACATTTTTCCTTTCAAACCTTAACAGCAAGTATGAAAATGTAATTTTTCAGGTAGAATAACTGGAGCAATTGCAATTGCAATTTGCAATAAGCACCACCGTAATCCTCCAACACCACTGCCGTCTCTCTTCTCCGATAACACCACTTTTCGCCAAAATCCAAGATTCTGAACCATCGCTAGATAAATCCATTATCCTCACCATTCAAACAAATTGAAACCCAATACCATGCCCAAAGAAATTCCGCTCCAGCTTGTAGTCACTACCAATGGCTTGCTCGTCGGAGCGTGGGTATCGTGGCCGGAGCAACCAATTCACCAGAAACAAAAGTTCGTTCCATTGCTTTGCCATTGCTCAATGAAATGCCCAATGAAATTCCACTCCAGCTTTTGCCATTGCTCCCATGGCATTGTTTTTCTATGGTCTTAGATAAATTAGAGAATCTAGTTCGTTCCAAATGTGGCAATCTGCCATGAGCATGAAAGCAGGGGACTTGTTCACCGTACAACAGGATGCATATTCTTCATTTGAGGCATCATAACTTGCATGATTCTCTTTTCTATTATGGGTTCGAGTTCAATTCGAGCAGCTACTACCTTGTTTTATTTTGAAGTTTAAGCTAATTGATTTATGTGGAATTTGAAATAATTTCAATGAATGGAATCTCCACCGAACGTTGAGCGGCGGTTGATGACCCGACGTCACTCCAGGCTCAGCAAAATTGTCTGAGTGATAGGCAAAATTACTCTTTAATACTCGTCGTTAAGTTTTGAGACAGAAAAAGTAACGGTGCAACTTAAAATACACTAATATGATTTAGATGTAACAAAATACATTTAGATGGTTAGTGTGCAACAAAAGCAAAACTTAACTGCTACCCATTGCCATTAACCCGGTCAATCGCCATGGCTCATCTTGGCCACTCTTGGGGAGGGGCGCGATCACCATGGATCACCTCAACCACTCATGGGGTGATCACCCAAGGTTATTTTGGGCACCCCCGGTTCACTCCAGCCACCACCTAGGGTCGATCACCTCGATCACTCCTACCACCCTCAGGATAGATCACTATGGGTCACCTCGATCACCCTTGAGTCAATCCAGCCATTCCTGAGATGGGGTCGGTCACCCCCAGTCACCTCGGCCAGCCTGTGATCACTTTGGCTACTCTCTTGGTCAAACATCACAATTCACCACGGCCACCCTGAATTGGGGTGTTCAAATTGTTACCATGATTATTAACAAACCAATTGAGCCTAATCGGGCTAATGAATTTAACATAACATTATCATTATGTGAGAAAGTCGTATCCCGATAATGCATAATTCATAATTTATTTAATGAATAAAACATAACGATTAATATATAGTTAACCATTAATGTAAATACATGCAACTATTAAAATTATATTACAGTCACTAGAAGTAGCCTCCTAACAAAAATATATGCTAATGGTATAAGGTTAGTGAATTGAGTGTGTCTATGTGAGTTGTCTTAGTCTTTTAGCAATTATCAAAGAATACAAATCTCTTCTCTTACAGCTTTTTATCCTACATAATAAGTGAGATTTATCTAAATTGGGTGTTCATACATCATTGTCTATTATCCATAAGAACAATACAATACAGGAACATAATGAGCTTCAATTTTTTTTATGGATCCAAAAGATAGGAGCACTTAACTCTTGAGTGATTATGCAAAGAATTAATTATGAATGTATAATATATTAGATATATGACTAATTGTTAAATTGGTTTGATTGGTTATTAGTGACTAAAATCCAACCAAACCACCTAACATAATAAAGTATCAAACAAAATAAAAAATTTAATAAAAACAAATCCATTAGCCAAATTAATCAAACTAAATTATCCGATTCTATCGGTTAAAATGGGTACCCATTTGAACCCCCTACTTGAGGTCACTCCGACCACCCTCAGGGCCGATCACCTCGGCCACCCCCAAGTCAGTCCCCTAGGTAGCCCAACACCCTTAGTCATGTACTCCCATGGCGTGTATATCCCTTCCCTCGGAGCTCCCAGAGGAAGATACATACTCCTTCCATGATTGCCGGATAACCATTATAAAAGTTATAAAAGGTCACCTTGTCTTCGGGTTAAGGTAAGTGAAAAAACTCATGCCTATCCTCGTGAATTTCTACTATGATTAGCAAAGATATTCACTTTCAACTCCCTTTCCTCATATTTCTTTTCGAATTTGTACTCCTCTTGCCCATAACTACTCACTAACTTGAGTGTCAAAAGGTTCCCATATTGAGATTGGCCGACAAATCCTTTTTGCAGGAAACGAGCGGAGCAGACATCACGAGAGTAATTCAAGGTGAAAAGTGATCGCCGACCAACCCCGATGCTCAGCATAAAAAAAACTTGATGTCGTCTACAACATCAACATCATTGCACATTAATTAATGTAATTCGTTAGTAACTGTAATCAAGTGATTTAATATTGTGCTTAAATTATAAAAAATGAAAAAGAAAAATAGGACATCTTGCTGGAATCCAGTCCACCATTGCCATTTTTTTAGGTCAATATGATTTTCATACATCTTATCCAGGTAATTAATAGCCTCCAAAATAAGGACCAATTATTTAACTATATTGCATACATCTTCAAGATGACTATGTAGGACGGTTGTCATAATGTAACTGTAGTTAGTAA